CATGGGCGGCCAGCCGGCGGCGCGGCGGAAGTCGGCGGGCGGGAGGGCGTTGGAGCAGTGGCCTCCAGCGCCGGTGGCGCCCTTTATGCAGGAGCAGGAGGCGCGGGCCCCGCCCGCCCCGCGGCCCCGCCCGCTCAGTGCTGAGCCTCGTGGAGGAGTGGGTGGCCACCCCCTCCGCCTAGGAAGGCTGGGGGGCACGCTGGGTGGAGGAAGCTGGTGAAGAAGATCCAGGGAGCTTTCAGGGTAGGGATGACCCTCGAAGGACACTTGGGAGAGAAATTGTCATAGGGACTAAGACAGGTTTGGCGGGTCTGACAGCGAACGGGACCATGCTGGGGAGAGCTGAGCTGCCAAAGAGAGACCTCAGGCCAGTTCGTGGGCACTGGTTAAGGTGGCTGGACCCCACGTGACCAAATGCTATGACCCGAGGTGGGAGATGGAGGCGATGAGGGAGAAGGGATTACAGTGTGGCCATTCCCCATGGAGGGTCCTTTTTTGTTTTCTCTCTCTGGCGAATATACTCACCATTTGGCAAAATTTAAAAAAGAAAAGAAAGAAAAAGAAGATAAAAAGAAGGAAGAGAGAAAAGAAAGAAAAAGAAAACGCCGTGGCCCACTAGCAGTGAGTCCTGCTACCGTCTGAGCGTGTGGGGATGGGAGAGAACGGTCAGAAAGGAAAGCAACTGGCTTGGGCTCTATAGGACGCTGCAGCAGGTCCTCAGTAAGGGGGCTCCGAGAGGAGCACATGTGCATGAGTGCCTAAAATCGCAAGAGAAGAAAAAGAAACGCTGTCACAGTCTAGCCCCAAGTGGGCACATACAACTCACATGCTGAGCTCCAGCCAGAGTTCATTTGTCCTTCTTGAGCTGTGAGTACATGCATGTTGCATGTCTTAGCCAGCAGTGTCCACACATGTATATCACATGTGTGTACACACATGCTGAACATTGCTCACGGCTGTACATGTTCCTGTCAAACCTGGCTGGGTTACATGTGTACCTTCGTGCTTTGTTCACGTGGCTCCAGAGGCTGAGCTGCAGCTGTCCTGACATGCCACATGCCACACACTTGCCAGCAGAATGAGCTCCAGCTGTTCTTAACCCTCTCCTTTCCTAGCCAGCTGATCCTTGGACAAAGAAGGGTCCATCCCTTTAAGAGATTAAGCTAACTACACTGTGCAGGTGTCAGATTCATTTGAAGGGGGTCATGGGGTAACCTTGTTCTCTAGGCTACATTTTAATCAGGAAACTGAGGCTTGCTGGACTGGGAGCAAAAAAACATGCTCTCACCCTAAGCCTCTATGGCAGCCTTGTCAGGGGAGATCAAAGAAACTACCTTTTGAGGGACCAGCAGGTGGTGTAATGACTACATTGCTGTACTCCCACGTATTCAACCGTGGTGTGAGTACCAGACCCAGTGGCTTAAAATTCACACCAGAAGCATGTGCGTTCATGCCCAAGATCTCGAGGGGAGAATGGAGGAGAAGGGATTGCAGCATGACCATCTCCCCTGAAGATTGATTTCTCGCTTTCTGTCTCTCTAGTGAGCACACATGCCCTATAGTGGTTAGGACAACTGAATCCCACATAGTAAACTACATGGTTTGAGTCCCAGACCCAGCAGCTCAAAAAACATGTCAAGCACATGTGCATGTGTGCCTAAAATCCCAAGAGAAGAAATGGAAAAGGGATTGCAGCATGGCCATTCCCCTTGGGGGATGATTTCTCACTTTCTACCTCTTTCTATGTATCTCTTCAACAAGCACATATGCCCTCTAGCAAAATTGAAGAGAAAGAAAAAGAAAGAAAAGAGAGAAAGGAAGAAAAAGAATAAAGAGAGAGAGAAAGAGAGAGAGATAAAGAAAGAAAGAAGAAAGAGAGAGAGAGAGAAAGAAAAAAAGAAAAGAGAGAAAGAAAAAAAAAAGAAGAAAGAAAGAGAAGTCACATTTTCCAAAGGGACTTAATACCGTTGGGTGAAGGGCCTTAGAGACTTGTTCCTTGAGGAGACTGTCAGAAATGAGGGATGCCAGGGGCCAGCAGGTGACGTGGTGGTTAAATTCTGGATATACCACATGGCCAACCACAGTTCAAGTCCTGGACCTGGTGGCTTGCTTTCTCACTACCCCTCTCTTTCTCTTTGTCTCTCCCTCTCTCTAGTCGAATTAAAATAAATGAATAAATAAATAAAATTAAATAAGTGATTCTTAAAAAAAATAAATAAATAAGAGATACCAGTCCCAAAGATGGTTCATACCAAAAAAGGTGGGGCTTAGCAATACACATAGGGTAAATTTGCAAGTACAGGATGCCACACACACATATGAGCACATGAATACACATATCCTATAGTTTTCAGTCATACACTTGCCCATAAACAATGAGTTCTGCTGGGACCAGCAGTTAGCATAATGGCTATGTCACTGGACTCCCATGTAGTCGACTGCGGTTCGAGTTCTGGACCAGGTGGCGTAGAACTCACACCAGGTGCGTGTGCGTGCATCCCCAAGATCCCGAGAGGAGAATGGAGGAGAAGGGATTGCAGCGTGGCCATTCCCCCTGGGGGGTGATTTTTCGCTTTCTGTCTCTCTCTCTCTGTGTCTGGCAAGTGTACGCGCCCTATAGCAAAAACCTCTCCAAAACAAAGAAACAAACAAAACCCAATGAGTTCTGCTCACACTTTCATGGGATCTCATCCACATGAGAGTCTGATCATGGGCTCACCCGTACATGGAACGCATCATTGAGCCTCACATGGCTCTTGGCCCAGAGAGATGCACCCTCCTTCTGAGACCTCATGGGTTGAGAGACCTCACAGTGAATCAGGGATCCATCACCAAGTACCTGCCCACTGGCCTCACTGCAAGCCTGTGACTCAAGACAGAACCATAGACTGCTGGTGCCAGAGTCCAGACCACAGGCTGTGGAAAGGGAGGAACACCCCTTCTGTGCTGCCCGCTCTTCTCCCCACCCTACGGTGTGCTCCTCAACTCTTTACTACCTCAAGCGAAACTGCAAAGGAAGTGGCAAGGAGCTCCTCAACATAAAAAGAAAATGGGAATCCCAGCCCACAGAACTCTACCCTCACCCTGCCCCATCCTAAGCCTGCTGGCAGCTGAGTACAGCCTGGGAACCAGAATAAGAGAGAAACACAAGGGCAGTTCTATGGCCAACAGGCACATGCAAGGCCCTCATACACATGTGCTTGCAATCGGCTCATGTAAGTGTTCATGTGGGCTGCACCAGGAGGGGGGAGGTCATGTAACCTGGATTTGTATATTTGGTTCACATTAAGTACTATTTATTATACATGTGTAGCCATGTGTACTGCCAATGTGTGCACAACCCTGTGTACTCCCACCAAATTCATTCATATCCATAACTAGGATGTACACATATGCAAATAGGATGATTTGGGTTGGAGCTGAAAAGGTATAGATGGGTAGAGCTTCATGATTCTTAGGATGTGAGAGGACCCTGCCCAGAGGAGGAGGAGGATGCGAGAACTTACAAAAGCCCCCATCCTGTTGGCCTGAATGTGTGTGTGTGTGTGGGGGGGGAGGGTAGGCAGAAAGAAGCATGACTGCCTCATTGCATGACTCTGCAGTCAGTGTGATTGGTGCCCCCTGGAGCAAAAGGCCAAGAAAGTGGCATGGCTTCCCAGAGGAGAATGTGAGCTTGGAAAGGTGCCAACACTGAGTCACACAGCTTTCCTGGAGCCCTCTGGGCTCCCTCTCGTGCTTCAGGGAGAAAAGCCAGGGCTGAGTGCAGGCTGGGAGTCAGCCTTGCTGAGAGCTCCGGGAGGAGGCAGATGAGGAGGTCCTACCTCCTCCCAGGGCATCTTGAGCAAGGTCTGTGTCTCACCTGGGTGGGAAGGCTGAGCCAGGGAAGGGGCCTAGACAGCCCATCCACCCCGTGGGAGGCCATGACTCCTTTAAGATCAGAGCTGGGGGAGTGGGTTCCCACAGCCTGAGGGATGGGCTAAAGATGCAGGTCCCAGCCTGCTGGACCAGAGGGGCTGGCTGGGGCCCTTTAAGGAGTGGAGATGGCACACCCTTCATTTCCTGCCCCCCAAACTCTTTCTGCCTAAATTGAAGCAGCCTGAACCAGCAAAGAGGGAGACTTGAGCCTTACTGTCAATAAGAGATGGGGGTGGAGATACAGATAGAATCCTTCCAGTCCTCCCTTAAATGCCTTAACATGCTCCAGAGTACTGGAGTGAGGTGGAGAAGGGGGAGCATAAACCAGACACACAGACATTTTCAAGTTTAAAAAGCACTTCTTCCCACTTTGCAAAACAACTCCAGATGGTGGGTGTACTTTCCCAACTTCATAGATGACAAAACTGAGGTTTGCAGAAAAGTCACATGCTTAGGTCATTCAGCCATTGAGTGTTGAGTTGGGAATTCAAACCCTATGGGGATGAGGAGAATGCATGAAGAGGGCAGAGACCAGAGAGCCATAGGTCTGAGGCACAGGGGATGAAGGGAACCAGGGCACAGAAAGCCACTGAGTCCCTCCATGCTTGACCACTGTCCCCTTTTGAAAGTGTCCCCCCACTGGGACCAGCAGTTGCATAACGGCTATGTCACTGGACTCCCATAATCGACTGTGGTTCGAGTCTTGGACAGGTGGCATAAACTCACGCCAGGCACGTGTGCGTGCGTGCCCAAAATCCTGAGAGGAGAATGGAGGAGAAGGGATTGCAGCGTGGCCTTCCCCCCTGGGCGGGGTGTGATTTCTTACTTTCTGTCTCTCTGTCTCTCTCTGTCTTTCTGGCAAGTGCACGCAAAAGCTGGAAAGTGCAAGACCCCAATAACAAACACAAAAAAAAAAAAAAAAAAAACCTCTCAACTCCACTTATAGGCCACTGTTGGATACTTTTTCTGCTTCTGTGTTTCAAGGTGGGGGGC